GGGCCACCTAAACAAATGATTGGTTATTTGAGTGTTTGTGCACGCGTTAGGAGTTCATTTTATTTTTCTTTGGCAGCTCTGGGATGGGGTTGGGGGAACTACTGAACTTTCCTTGCTTTTGGCTACACCATTATAGCATGAGTTCTGAAAAAAATTGGAGCACATCTTATGCCGTTAGGTGTGATGGATGTAGTTTCTCACATTTAATAGTTACCTTCTTAACATCCACAACTTTCAAAATGGTAAGTGAAATCTTACCCGATACGTTCATTTTTACGTGAAAAGCTTTTAAACCACTAAAGCACGGATAATATCAAGCATGTGTATGCTGATTTGATGCTGAAGTTTAGAGTTCCAACTTCCAAGTATGTTCCTAACATGATCTTCCATGCATTTCAAGGCTTCAAAAAACCAGACTGGAAGAAAAAGGAAACAACCCGTATCCTCTTCAGGACCTGCCAATAGCTCCGGAACTGCAAACACAGCAGGGCCGTCTCCAGGTTCCCAACCTTCAACACCCTCCGGAGATGTGATGTCGATGCCTGCTTTGCCACACACTGGCAGTTCTTCAAAGCCTCTTATGATGTTTGGAGCTGACAATGCTGGTACTCTTACATCATCAAATCAATTGGTGAGAATAAATTTTATCTTTTTGTCTTAATAGATAAAACTTCTATTTAATAGTAAAAAGTTTTCATTGGCATTTTGGCAGTGGGACGATAAAGATCTTGTGCAATCTGATATGGTGGATCGCTTTGTGGATGATGTTGAAGATAATGTTGAGTCCTTTTTGTCTCACGATGATGGAGATCCCCGAGAAGCAGTTGGTCGTTGCATGGATGTTAGCAAAGGTAAGTAAGATGTTAACCTCTTCTACTAGCGTAATGCTTTATAGAAAATTTCTGGAGTTCCTACGCTTTTAAGCACTATGGAGATTATCCATCTCATTTCAACTGTATTTTGATGTGTTCTAAGAATATTCTTGAAAGACCATTGATTATCAATTATGTTTTGCACAGTTACAATTTTTTTTTTTTTGTTTAAATCTGGCGTAATGTTTTTCCTTTTTATTTCTACTTATGTTATTTAGATTATTTTCAACTGTTGCCATTTGATATGTAAAACATGTGGATGATTTCCTAGCATAGATGCTTCTTTTTCAATCTTCGTCCAGTATCCTTATGGAAGATAATATATAATGTAGGCTGAAAACATAGGATTATAACATCTGCGTAGGAAAAAGAAATCAATTAATCTTTTTCCCCACTTTATATTCGCAATAGATCTTAGCCTCAGTGTCTGTGAGGGTCCTCCCCCATTCAGTGAACTTCTCTATGGATGATGATTTTAGGTTTGTTTTAATGTGTGGTCATATGTATTTATGGAAACACCACTATGTAAATTTAAATTAGTTTTGTCTCATAGTGATTCCACTTTTGAAAACCACAAACATGATAAATAACTTGAGAGGAATTTCTTCTGTGTGGGAAGCTTCGGAAAATAAGTGAAATTCAATTCTGTGTTCCATTCATTCTGATTGGTTGCCTATGATCTTCAGGGTTCACATTTGCAGAGGTCAGTTCTGTTCGTGCCAGTACTAACAAAGTTGCGTGTTGCCACTTCTCAGCAGATGGCAAGCTGCTTGCTACAGGCGGCCATGACAAAAAGGTGATTATCAAAGTGGACAGACAATTATTTCCATTTAAATGCACAAGTATTCTTTTGAGCATCTTTGTCTAAGCTTAAAAGTAACATTTTTTCCCAGCTATGTGTTGAGAGTTTTAAAAGTTACTTTTGTTTTCTAGATTGTTGAGTTCAAAAATTTACTTTCTTAATGTCTTTACTTTTGGAAAAGTACTTTTAGTTTTTCTTGAGCTTAGCCAACCATGCTCTCAGTATCTAATTTATGCGGCTCTAACCTTAACGTTTAGCATTGTTGAATTTGCTAGCTCACGCGTGTAATGTCAATTGGTGCAGGGTGTTTTGTGGTCTACTGATAATTTGAAGCCAAAATCTGCACTGGAAGAACACACGTCATTTATTACTGACGTACGCTTTAGTCCAAGCATGGCACGGCTTGCAACATCGTCTTTTGACAAAACTGTCAGAGTTTGGGATGCCGACAATGTTAGTTGGGAAATAGTCTATATAATTGCACGTTCTCTTTTTGTGAACTTCCATTTTCCTCTACCAAATATTTTCTTCCCGTTAATGTTTTGTCATCATATCCTATTTGGAAAAACATTTTTCACTGTGAATAAGGACTGTTATTAAGAATGTCTTTCTATGCAATGCCATCAATCAACATGGGTCTGATACTCATTTTGCTATTTTTACATATATATATATTTTTTTAAGTAATCTGTTCATTTTTCCTGGTTAAATTCTTTTTCTCACAGAGAAAAGTGTTGTTTGGCTGAAGTTTTAACATTGCTTCTTTTTGCTTTTGACGTGGGAAATCAAAGGGAGACAACATCACTTTTCCCTATATCATGGATGGATGGACGGACTCTGGAAATTTTTCCAGACATTTAAATTGGTAATATGCAATGACATTAGCTTACCTTTATGTTGATTTGTATTGCAGCCGGGCTATTCACTTCGTACCTTTACTGGACATTCCTCCGGAGTGATGTCCCTGGATTTTCATCCTACCAAAGAAGATCTCATCTGCTCATGTGACAGTGATGGTGAGATACGATTCTGGAGTATTAACAATGGTAGCTGCACAAGAGTTTCCAAGGTAAAAATTAAAACCATAGACAAAACTACACTTGAAAATTTGACCATGTCTCCTTCGACTATCTATTTTCCCTTTACTTTTATTTATTTTCCCCTTGCCCCTGGTCCTCATTAGGTAGTTGTGAAGGCATTTAATTTGTGTTATATTTCCTAATTCGGTTGGATTAGGGTGGCACTGTCCGAGTAAGATTTCAACCTCGTCTGGGAAGATATCTTGCTGCAGCTGCTGAAAATGTTGTATCTATATTGGATTCGGAGACACTGGCTTGTCAACATTCAATGAAGGTTAGTTCCCCGAGCCCCATGCATGGCAATGATATTTTGGAATGTTGATTATTTGTTTGGGTTTGTAAGCAATCATTTAACGTAATGCTCAACATGTACCCATCAAGTGATATAATTGAAAAACGGTTGTTAAGAGAAAATCAAATAAATACTAGGAATTTGTGTTCATTTGAGATCAATTTTATTATCTTTTCAAAGCTAAAATGATGTACCAGTGCAAGTTAACTAGCATCTGAAAATTTTAGAGTACGAGAGCCTAATAGAATTATTTCTGATATTGAAAAATTGCTCAAGTCTACGGCTCACATGTTGGAAATGAAAATACTGGTCTAGAAATTGATTGAGTTGGCTGATAATTGATAATTGGATTAAATAATCTGTTTGCATGTTTGTTGCTGATTGTTCAATGAACAGGAACGGAAAGATATTTTATTGTTTTTTCATTATTAATAAGAAATCTGAATGGATGCTTCTTCTAGATATGGATGCATAAAATTATGAGTCAGTGTTGGTCAATTACATGTTCTCAACATGAATTCTCTCTTTTATTGTTTTTGCCGCTGGGTTGTGAATTGTTAATTGACGTCTTCTCCCTAACTTGATGTTTCTATATTTACTGTATCACTATAGGGTCACACAAAACATATTGAGTCTGTTTGTTGGGATACTTCTGGCGAGCTCTTGGCATCTGTCAGTGAGGATTCAGTGCGAGTCTGGACTCTTAGATCTGGGAGTGAAGGTGGTTGTTTGTACGAGCTTAATTGTAATGGCAACAAATTCCATTCCTGCGTTTTCCATCCTACATGTCCTTCAGTGCTGGTTATTGGCTGTTACCAGGCAAGTCATCTCTTTTGCATTCTATAATTTTTTTTCTTCTTTCTTCTCTGTAGTTTATGAATTTGCATAGGTTGTCTTTGACTAAACCAACGAGCTCATATATATGCTATTACAATTTTATATCAGCTTCACACCCAAAGGAGAGGATAAAATAAGCTAAATGAAAATGGTTGTGTAGGGGATGATTAAGCTGTGAACTTCTCGTCTATGCCATCACCATGGATTCACCATTCTAGGTTTTAGCCACGAGTTATGTATTTAGCTAGTTAGCGGTCGTGGTTAAGTTACATCTGGTAGTTTGTCCGTGTGTCTGTTGGATCCGTGGTTGGTTGGGTACATGCCAACTCGCCATTCATTTTCAATCTGTGTAATCATTGTAATGTTGGCACGAAGTTTTAGCCTTTTTATTTCCTTGGTTGGTTTTAGCCTTTTTACATCGCTTCCAGCGAAGCATGTCCAACGAGGCTACTCATTAGTTTGGATTTGATATTTCCTTGTATATGACATCACTGTAACCATTGCTATCTAGTATTCATTGCCAAACATGACACGTGTAAAGTTCCTTGCCTCAAGATACGAGTTGATCACTACAAGTAAGATGCCTCATTGATCGACTGCAGCCCTTCATTTTCCCCTAAAATAATAGCGATTTTAGGGATGTGGATCGAGATTACTCCATTTCATGTCGTGCACAGGGCTTTCTATTTTTTTTTTTTTTTTTAAAGATTTGTGGGTTGACTTTTCGGTTAAGTTCCAAGCCGACTCCTTTTCTAACTACTATGATAACTCTTTTACAGTCACTGGAGCTGTGGAACATGTCCGAGAAGAAGACATTGACCCTTCCAGCTCACGAAGGATTGATTGCTTCTTTGGCTGTATCAGCAGCCTCGGGTCTCATTGCTTCTGCTAGCCATGACAGAATTGTTAAGCTCTGGAAATGACGACGATCTAGATTATTTTGGCAGGATCTCTACAGATGTAGTTTGTATTTGCATTGTAACAAATACTTCAGTTTTCCTGGTCCTTACATAGGAACCAACTCTATACTGATACTGTTCTCTCTTTTGACTGCCGTTGTTAACCAGTGAAAAATGTACTTGCAATCTGCAGAAGCTCGTGGGATTAGGTTGTGTGATATCGAGGACTAGACCATATAATGAAGAATATGTATTGAACCTACTCAAAAAATTGCCCCGTGACATGATTATATATTATTATTTTTTCTTTAATATTGTCGAATTGTCAAGTCTACTTAAGTGAACAAGTTTTGACCAGCTTCAAAAATATACTGTTCTAAAGTGGCCTGTTTTGAACTACATAAATAATATTAAACAAAACAATTTATATTTACATTTTGTCCAGTCGTGTACCAAATTCGTCTGCATTTGTTAAATTTTATTTGTTTTAAATAATGTATTGCACGGAGCTTGGTCGAGCCTTCATTATTTAACAATTTATTTATTTATTTATTTTTCCCCTTTGTGAAAAAATTAAAAAGAAATAAAAGGGGTCGTGGCTCCAACCCAAAAAATGAAGAGAAAATGTTAGGCAATGTTATAAACTAATGAGAGAGAAAAAGAAAATAGAGGAAAGTCAATAAATTTGTGTATTTTAATTAGAACTAAAGTTTCATATTTATATGATAGAATTAAAGCTACAAGGAATGCAACAGTTATAAAGACTAGGGTAATAGGGGTAGAAAGTTGAATAAGGACTATTATATTTATAATACTTCCTCTTTAATGATTATTTACACAATAATTACCTTCCCAAAATATTATTTGGTTAAGAAGTTCGATGAGACAGAAATGTCAACAAACGAAAAAAAAAAGTACAAATAATTTGTAGTAAAATGTTGCATTATTAAATTCTTGTTAAGAAAATTCAGTAGGACAAAAACTTAATTGAAGGAAAAATGTACAGCTACTCTCCCTTATTTGAATTCTTGTATCAAGTAATCCATGTCTTGTATGTCAATGTTTTTAATATTGCAATTTCTAGTGAAGTGTATTTCTTATTGTCTTGTATAGTTTTCGAATAAGATCATGTTCATACGAGATATTTATCAATCTTTGATGACTGTATTAATATGATGATTCGGAAAATAACTCTTGTTGATTTCTTCAGGAGTTCCATACATATCAGAGTATTATTCTGAGGATAAATGTCTTTTAAGTTATGGATATTCATTGCGCAAAGAATATGCATCGTTAAAGTCTTATTAGAAAAAATCCTGTGAGAAAAATTCTAATGAAAGAAAAGTAATATATTATTTTTTTGAATACGTTACAAAAGTTGTCTCGTTAAAAATCTTGCCAAGAAAATTTAATGGAACAAAATTTTGACTAAGAAAAAAGAGTACAATGCATATTTATCCCCTTCATGATAATATCATTTGATTTATATGCTTAATGCGTGTTAAATCTTTCTAGGTAACATTACCAGTAATGTTGGATAGGTTGGCTATAATCAAATTTATTATATGCATGTCAAATTGCATGTATTGTAAGACTAATAAAACAGAGATGTGCTATGACATCCACAACATAATAATTTATCTATTTTCACAAGTATTCGATAAATGCATTATGTAAAGAGTTGTAGATTTCATGTTATGACTTTACTTATTCTATATTTATTTTGCATAAGTATATACATTTAGATGTTCGGACTGTAGATTTTGAAACTATAAATTTCTATAATAAATTCAAATTTGATAAGATTGCATTTCTTTTATTTAGCCAATCATTATTTTCGATCGATATGTTTTGATGAATTTATTCATAATATGATTAGTACATCATGCACAAATGTGTTGTAGGCAACTTTTTCGTTTTCAATTCTATTTTTTCTCATAGCGACATAACTTATTAAGATATTTCAATTTTCTACATTTTCAGGTACCTGAACATCTTTTGGAGTTTTATAATTTTATGTCTAAATACTCATCGAGCGTATGTGCCTCCTTAATCAGACAATCTTTGCTAATTGTTCCATTTTTGTTTTATTAGAATTGAATATCATCATGTTTTAGCGCGTGTTATAAATTTGTCAAATATAATATTAACTAATTGTCTTCCAGGAAGTTAATTCAAACTGGAGCATTTAAAGCTGGCATGTGAAATATTGTTGATCTCTTTGGTCGGTAAATGTATCTAAATGAATTATTTTTCAAACTTCTAGTTTGAATTATCTTTTGCGAGGATTTAAACAATGATATATTTGTATGTTATTTTTAGCTTCTAATTCCTCCCTCTAATACAAAGAAAATTGTCCAACCAACAATCTACATTATAAAATATTGCCCGTTTGAAATAAGGGTTCAAACTATGCATTTATTCTCAGTATTCTTAACTTTTTAATCTTAATGCAATGTAGTGTATTAATTGAATATATATTGCACTATCAAATACTTAGATGAAAAAACAAGGCTATGATCATGAGCCAATTATAATAGGGAGTAGTTGATATTGGCATGATACATAATAGCATTCCCTAAACAAAAATAAGAAGTACTTTGTTCTCAATTAAATTAAATTATTGGAGGCGTTTAATAAGCAACAGTGTTAAACCATTTATTGAAATCCCAACTAACATTTATTAAAATTTTGAGATTTATGCTCACTAGCATTAACAAAACATATCGTCTTGATTGTATAATCTGAAAATTATACTCATAATTTAAAATTTGAATAATAATTTCGCAAATTTTATGTTGCAAACACTATACAATCATCTAATGGATGTATCGAATTTATCATAGACAAAATAATATCTAGATGGTCCATGTGAAGGATGACGGGGCCTCATATCATCCTAATTATTTTTCAAACATTATGATTCTCAATAATTGATTCTCAATTAAAAAAAAAGAACAAACATTATGTAGGAATTCATTAAATTGAAGAATAAGAACTCTTCATTGAACGTTTGAATTCTCAATTTCACATAATTATTAATCAAGTGATAATCCAATTGATCGTGTCAAATAATAATATATTCAGTAATTGAACTTCTTGTTCAATGCAATATATACAATTTCAATAATTATTCAATCAAACAAAAAACATAGTTAATCTCAAAAATATAATTAACGATGATATAATCATACAAGAATCAATATCAAACATGACATGAGTTGTATATTTTTTCAAGGATAAATACCGGTTCAAAATAATATATTTTTCTAAATATATGAAATATTTCACTATTATTTTTTCAAGGATAATATATCATGCCCCATTAAAATGGGATTTTGGCCAGTTTTGGGGCAATCTTCAGTTTTTAGGGAGATGTGCAGGTCCCAAAATGAACATTCCGAATTTACCCTTCAACTAGATGGCGGGAGTTTATTTTAAAGTTAAGGAATAGGAGGGTCATTTCTGAAAATTGATTTTTACAAAACGAGGACAGTTTGGAGATTTTGGGTTTCAACGTATCTGGAAGATTTTGACTGCCGACAAATGTTCTGTGCACTTTATAATTTTTCAATATTTAATTTACTGTTGAAAAATGATAAATCTCATTACAATTAGGGGTTATTAGCCTATTATTCTTTTAAAATATTAAAATTTTAATCTCATACTCTTCGTAGGAAATAACTTATTATTATTATTCAAAATATAAATCCCGTAAAGATTTACTCTTCATGAATAAAAACATATTTATGTTAAATTTTACTTAATTATACTCTTCGAAATCAAGTAATCTCTAACTAGAATATAAATAATAATGTAATACTTCAAGAGCAACAATATTTTGTGTGGCTACACCTCTTTGACAGCAATTCTCTTCTGATTATAATGAAAAAGTTGACCGCTATATACAGGAAATGGGCCCCCTATAGCAGTCATTTTTGACTGCACTTATCTAGTCAATTAAAATTTTGATGAAAAGACCTCGATGCCCCTTTATTTTTAACATTCAACACCATTGCAAGGACCTTTTTGACATTCCAAATTATAATAAAAGACGACGACAAGTTTTTGTCAATTTTTTGCCAATTTCTCTTCGGACATGGGGCCTGTTGACTGTATAGCACGATCAGATTTTTCATTATAAAAGGTTGAACTCCAATTTTAAGGGTCCCACATCGTCCCGTCTCTGGAGTATCGTGAGAGAGATTAATCGCGAGATGTGCCCAGCAGGTCAGGGAACAAGAACTGCATGTACACTGGTGCCTACAAAGAGTCTCAATCTATGTTTCAAGAATCGAACACTCACACTGCAGCTACAATCAAGGTTGAGTATACATCACCTTATCCTTTACACCACTGGAATATGTCCCGGGAGGCGATCAGATTTTTCATTATAATCATGCAATAACATTATCAAACAAGCGCTTCTTAATAGACAAACTTACGAGCACTTTTTTATGACTATACTTGTATTAAAAAGAACGAGAAAGAGATAATTAATCAAACGATAAATAAGAAACATCACATATGAATACAATAAAGTTGTTAAGTCTTTCACGCATGCACATGAAAATATGGATGCAGTCATGTGCATGAGCGAACACATTCATTAGTAAAAACTAATCATTATCCAATATTAGAAAAATCATTCACATAGAAGGTAGTAGAATGTGATCGGTAACAACCATTCTCCCTGACTTGCTGTGCGCGGCAAAATTGATTTTGGTGTTGGAATAAATTAATTAGTTGTATTAGTGATCTGAACAATATAATACAGAAATATAAAATTTATCGTCCGATCGAGTCTCGTGACAGCACGATATCCTAAAGTGAAATTGTCCGTCAATAATTGCTACGACCTCCGTGGACAATTACTCCCAAGATACAACGATCGTAAACCACTTGTGCAGCAATCACGAATAGTTTTCTAGAACTCTCAATTGTATTCCAGAATAAATGTAAAAACCCGAATATAAGAAATTCAGAATATGAAAGGAGGGTTGATGTAAGATGATTTTTCTATTGTCTTTTTGCGTGTGTTTTTCTCAAAACGAGATATGGGTTTATATAGGCAAGATTGTAGTAACAATCTTCACCATGTTAATGCAGAATTTTAATGACTAAGTAGTGGGTGTTTTAATGATTGTTAGTGGGTTGTTACAAAAATAAACAGTCAGAAAATACTGGCTAATTTTACCCATTAAATAATAAAGCAAAAAAAATATTTATTTTAGTCAAGGGAGCCCAAGAACCCATGACCCCAAGGCCCCAATCAAGACATTTTAATATCTGCGTAGGAAGTGACTCGAACCCCTGACATCCCACACAAATGTCACATTTTCCATTACTTTGACACTTTATCTAATTTGATTATTTCTTTCACATTTTATATTTGTACCACAAATATATAACATTTGGTACACATCACACATGCTTATTGTTCATTTTGAGAATAAAAATATTATTCATATCCTTATGAATCCGAAAATATATTATGTTATTTCCTTTACTTGTATTGGGCATCTTTACTTTGTTCGATGAGAATACAAAAAATTGCGGCTATAGATAAGAGTGCACACGCTTACGGTGCCGCCTTCCTTTTTTTCATTCCCAGATAATACTAAACCTTGAATTATTTTTAAAAAAATTAAGCTATCACATTGATAATGTATTATAAATTAGAGAGAAAAAAAGCAAAAAAAAAGTCAATAAATTTGGGTGTTTTATTAAGATTAAAGCTCTATATTTATTAGGAAGAATTATGACTACAAGGGATATAACGATTATAATGGCTAAAACTACAAGGGAATAAAAGTCATTCATAAATATTACTATATTTACACCGACAAAATAATTTATAGACGTTAATTTGTGATGGAATACGTACTTATCTATCCTAAAAAGAGAAAGAGTTCGTTAAGTTAAAAAAATCAAGGTAATTCTACCAAGGTACATGTAATTAAATGGGCATAATACAATCAAATAAATATTTAACGGATAATTACGTAGAAAAAAATAACACGATCAAATGTGAAAATCTTCCCATTCAAATGGAAAAATTGCATGCCTTCTGCCATCTCAAATCTTTATGTAATATAAATAAATAGGTAAAGGAAAACAGAGCAGTCAAGAGATACAACAACAAATTTTCACGTGAAAATCTTCCAATTCAAACGAAAAATTCACATGACACCCCTGAACTCGGGAGAAATTTGGGTGGGGTGGTCGCACCATCCACGTGGTGCAACTGCCCAACCCCGATTCGCCACCTATGTAGAAGGCCCACTCACCTCGAGGGTGTGTGGCAGCCCACCCATCGAGATGGTGCACATTGATAAGGCGGTCGCACCGCGCGTACCTAAGTTTTTCCCCTAAACTCACCCCCATTTCACAAATCTTTTAGCTAATAAAAATAATTAGGTAGATCAAAACAACATGATCAAGGAATATAAAAATATTTCTTCTCGTGACAATCTTCTAATTTAAATGGAAAAAAAAAAAAGTCACCTGATCACATTCCCATCTCAAATCTTTAACTAATAGAAGAATTGAGTACGACTTTTTGTAATACAAGCAGACGATATAATTAAGCCCCCGTTTGATCCCCATTAAATTCAATTACATTACATTACATTTTTCTCTCTCATATTTTCAACCACACAATCTTCCATAAAATAATATTACACGTAAACCGAAAACATTTCATTCTTTTTCAACCACTCATTTTTCTAAAAAATACTATTCCTCCCATTTTCTTTTCAGGTAATGGGGGTCAAACAGGGGCTAAGAATCTTATCTGCTTTCATCAAATTAATATCTCCCGCGAGCTTTGACTCACTCAAGCTTTGATAAATTTCTTACAAGTTGTATCAAATGGGACAAATATGTGTGAATACAAACAAGCACTTAAAAAGGCATCTTGAATAGAAATAATGATAATAGCAATCCAAACGCCACTTAAGATGCTCGTAAATGAGAGCTAATAATTAACATGTAAAATAGTGACCTTTATGAATAGTATAGCGACTATTCCCACTATCTCTAACATGAACTCGATAAAATTGAATTCTCCACATATTATATAATATGCGGGATATTGACGCAAGACCTTGCTGATGACCCGACCCGACCCACATGAACATGATAAAATCAAATCTTGATCAAAGAAAGAGCCTTCCCACGATGCTTATTCTTAAGACTAATATACTCTTTCACTGTCAATGAACGATATATTGGACTTGGAAGCTTATTCAGTGGCCCAATAATGGATTCCACCGGAGGTCCATAAAAGTACGCTACAGAAACTCTATGCCTATCCTGATTCGGAACTGCACGGTGATAAACTGTAGGGAGTCTTCCATTCGATAAAATGTGCAATAAGTCTCCTATATTCACAACTAGGGCTCCGGATACTGGAGGAACAGGTACCCACCCGACTCCATTTCGATGAATTTGGAGCCCTTTTGTTTCACTCTGGTGAAGAATAGTAAGGAGGAGTGAATCCGTATGTGGGGCTAACCCGATAGCTCGATTCGGATCCGGACAGCACGGATAAGAATTCAGTTGCAGTGCACCATCGGCGTCGGATTCGTGAATAGATGATACAGAAATCACTTCTTCTTCTTCTTCTTTAGTTATGTCTAAGAACTTGAGGATTAGAAGCATGATTTGATAGGCCAATGATTTCATCCTTTTTTGATAATTATCCATTACATTGCTGCAAAATAAAGAAAAACGGATAGTACGTTTGATTTGATAGTATTCGGAAAAAGATAAATAAGAAAAAAAAATATTCGTCCTACTTCTTTTAACTGCTTCAATTTTTAGACATGTAATTTAACATGTATATAAGTCATAGATTTGGGTATCTTTCTTAAAAAGTTGTACGGACTTTCGATGAAATAGAATTTGGTACGTACGTAGATGAACGATTTGTTGAAGATGAAATCTAAATAAATATATTTATACCTTATTATGAAGCTTTTAGGTATGAAAGTACCAATAAAAATCTTACCAAAAATCTTCATAGCCATGGGGCCAAAGTTCCTTTGCATGCTCAACTGTAGAGCCCATAATGGTGAAGCCCTCATGCCACATTAACTTGGAGAAAAATGGCGATATCCTAGCAACGCCGTACCCGGTGGCTCCACCAGGTGCTCGTAGGGCCTTCAATTTATGTTGAGTTGGAAGTGAAAACAATTGTCGAGCATGTGACTCGACATTATTGACAAGAATCGAGGAAACACCGTGATTAATCACGTGAAACATACCCCAAGTTTCGCATGCATTGCCAACAAGCTCCACAACATTTGGAGCACTTAGATCAATAATTGGTACGCTAGATTCTTCATTCTTCGGCGCATGCTTTAGATGCGTATATTTTTCTGAGTCGTGATCATTGACGTGATCAGACCATATATGTGAATCTGGTAACTCATGAATGGAGTCGAAATCAAGAGGAATAATATGTTGAAGACCGAGAGGACTGTCACCATAGGCTTCTGAAAGAGTGGCCATGTCATTGAGAACTTAATCATGTAGTAATTATCATCTAATCCCATATTTATGAAATGAGGTTCCTTGCATTTGATTTTATTCTATTACACGTGGCCAGAGCGTCTGTATGGACAAAGCGTTGTCGTATTGAGGGATTTTCAGACATTTTCAAATCTATCATTAATGTTTGATTTGTTAGTTTTAACTTATTTGTTGTTGTTTAGACCCTGTCTGAGCATTTCTCTTCTGTCACTTTGAAGCTCAAGAAAACATTTAATTCTATTCAAAAGTCATTTTTTAAAGTACTAAAACGAGTTGAGATCTGCTGCATTATCACTTCAGTAAATGACTCACAACGTCAATTTTTATTAGCCAATGAGAGTTAGACAACATGCTAGACATTATTATGTTATTTATATCGTATTATAGTGTAATCTTTCGAACTTTTTTGAAAATAAATGTATATCATTAAGGAAATCTTGAAATAATCATTAAACTGGTGCCTTTTTTTTTAATTTTTAATTTAATTTAATTTTATTTTTTGTTGGGTGGAAGACATCAACATAGCCTCGATGAGTTTATAATCTTTCTAACAAGAACTTACGTATCATGTCTCAAAGATTTAATAGAGGAAAGTTAAATACGAACATCATATCTCAACTCATGTAGAATGTCTCGTGCTCAAAATGTGTAATTAAATAAATACACATATATGTAAAACAAGTAAAATTCGCATTTCATTTTTTTTCTGGGAAAAATAAAATAAAATTGAATGTACTTTGTGTTGAATATAAAAATAATTTATTATTATTATTATAATAATTATTTTTGTTTTTATCTAGTGCATTATTTGTTGGTTTGAAGGTCAATTTGTGGGCACAATTTAATTCGGTGGAATGGAACTCAATACGCGTGTGCTAAAATTGTAATTTTGTTTAGAAAAGACAAAATTAAATACAAAAACAGTGAAAAGTATGACGCACAGCTGGACATTGCTTATCTGGTGAATATGTTAATGCATATTAGTCTTAATTTGTGGATGAATTTGAAAAGTTATATCACAGCTGATTAGATAAGAGAAGAAAACAAAGTAATCTTTTCCGCAGAATAAATTAGAACTATCAACTAAATGACAAGTGCAATTATCGATTAAAAGATGAGCATGACGATGTAATGTCTTTAAATATAATTAAATTTGGTCACACATACAATCCAAAAGTTTTCTTACCTAGAAATTCGATACTTTTTTCGACATGCGTAAAATAAAATAAAATAAAAACAGGTAGAAGAGGTTATCTGCGTTGAACAACGACGAAGGTAGTCATCTACAAATACTCAAATTGAAACAAGCCCGTGTCTTTAAAAGAGTATAAAAGTACTTCAAACGTAGATATATCTAAGGTTTTAAAAATTCGAGTTCTATAAATCAAAAGTTCGAGACCGGATACAATTTACTCTAAAATTTATTTTATGAATAATTCCCTGCAAGCACCATACAACCATTGGTAGCACTAGTATGGTGCATTTTTATTTTTGTCTGTTTTGATGAAAATCAATCAAAAATTGACAAGTGTCCAATCGACGAAATTTTGCCACGCTCTCTCTGTACGTGAATTCATACTTAATTTGGATACAACTTAAAATTTTCACTATTTACAAATTTCAACTTCTCATATAAGCTCAATGCCTAAAATCAAGCATCTTTAGAGAAGCTTAAAATTTGAGCTTTCTCTAAAACATCTTTAAATTGATCGACAAGTATTTTTTGACTTCAACAAAACATGCATTATATTACCAAGAAATTTTAAGCATTGTAAAAGTATCCACGTACACAATAAATGGTGCATTCCAGAAGAGACGCGTGGGGTCAGTGCCTCACTCGATGGAAGTGCAGAGAAAGGCTGCTCGTCAAGCCGTGTAGCTAAGATGTAAGTCGATGAATTCGCTCCTTAGGAATTAGCTCCAATAATAATACAGATGATCACAAGTTTCACGCCGTTAGTTCCTTGACCAATAATACATCAGACAGACGATAGTGTTACTTATATTGTTTGTCAAGCTTCAAAATCTAGCTCTTACCTTAAAACTGATAAGTGAGCATATTCACAGACAAGAAATGAGATGAAAAAAAGCTGAGGGAGTGGGTATTATATTATCAAGTTCTTTCCAATTTTGGGTCCTGAAAAACGATCAACCGAAAATTCGTTGCTATTTTGAGGATGGCTGATAGTTACCAATGAATTTTCCATAGGTAAAGTGTAAAACTTTTACCAACATAATATCCGTAGGTACAAGTATATTCATTACCAAACAAATTTCAGTTGGTAATGATATTTTCAATACTAACGGAAAAGAAGTTTGTTAAAAATTTATCTTTTAACGACGTAACTTTCCTTTGTACAAATATTACCATTAATAACTACATTTTTATTGGTAAAAATATTACCATTACTAACTAAATTTTCATTGGTAAAATTCTGTCTTTACTAACCTGATCCCATTGGATAAACTCTAAAAACTTTACATTACCAACTGAATTTTCGTTGGTAAAAATATTACCGTTATCGACCATATTTCCATTGGTAAAGTCTAAAAACTTTATCATTACCAACCGAGTTTTCGTTGGTAACTTTTTTCGTATGTGAAGTTCAATTTATTTATATATTAATAAAAATTACAATAAATTTATAAAACCTGCTATTTAATATCAAAACACAATAAATAATCAAAATCATCAAAATGCATTAAAGCTTTAATAGATGAAGTTAATACATTAAAATTCCAATGTATGAACATCATGTCTTACATATCATCATTTCATGATCCCGAGCCGGAAGGAAAATGAAAGTTTCGAGTATTTGGTTTCCTAAGCATGTTTCACACTGTTTCTTACATCTCGGCCCTATGATTTCTTTCAAGACGTACAGAGAGATTGTTAATCCTTTTATTATTTGCTTCTGTTGTATTTCATGTACTAGCCTGCTCTGACTTCAAATTATTTATCCCTTCATCACGTGCAATTATTGAATGTGTGCCAAGAACATGCGAAGTAGGTTGTCGAGGGCCAAGCCCATAAACATGACCGTTTGTCAAGGATTGCAGCTTTACTTAGCCCATTGACACTATTGCAGTCGCAGTTTGCCCAACTTCGACCGCACATTGTAAATATTATTTCAAGTTTGAGTTGTAATTTTCTTTTCATTGTAATAATTATTTTAGTTGTAAAATAGCTCTGATATTAGTAAACGTTTAGTATGATTCTCGTCTTTTAAACGTCTACTCATGTCACTTAGGTCTTTGTTCAGAATACTATTATAGGGGGTATTAGTTATTCAAAAATCTTTCAAACTCACTGGTGTCCGCCTCCTGCACCAGCAATTGTAATTTTCTGCTTTCATCAATTGTAATGTTCAATTTTCATCAATCAACGTTCAATTTACTTTCAATGTATTCAAATTCTCTATTATAAGCTTTCTACAAAATTGTAATCAAATTTTCTTTCGTCCCGACGCGACCGAGAAAAGGCTGAAGAAAGTCTAGCGGAGCAGACTACTGCCGCACGGTGTCCCTTTCTGTGCCAAGAAGAAAGGCACCCCGTGAAAGTTGGTATCAAAACTGCGGCTCACGACCCTCGATAAGAAAGCTATGAATCCAATTACATCCCACACCACTGAAGTGGTAGAGCCTCAAAAGAAGGGTACTACTAAATAGCGCGTGGATGCGCTTGATGAGACAACTACTAGGTTGTGCTATGCTTTGGAAGGTTTTAAGGAAAAAGTCGAGATGGCCAAATCCGAGATTCGTAGATTACACATCCAACTGGATGAAAGTCGAAGGGCTTGCACAGCAATAACTGAAGCTGCTGCAATCATTCCTGATCTGCAGGATGAAATGGAAGCGTTGAAAGCTCAATTAAGAGTACTCCAACGTGCGGTGGTCAATGGGCAAGCTCCCGTACCAGAGTATGCTTCTAGACTCGAAACGGAGGGGCACGTGATGCAAAAGAATTCGAAAACTTCTTATTTGATATAGAACAATACTTTCTTGCAGTTTCGATCGAAGACGAAGCTAGAAAGGTAACCACAGCTACCATGTATCTGGGTGGAGATGCAAAATTATGGTGGCGAACCAAATATACTGACATTCAGGCCCACAGGGTTCGAATAGATTCTTGGGATCTCCTCAAGGAAGCAATCAGATCGCAGTTTTTCCTGGAAAATGTCGAGTATCAGGCTCGACGGGCACTTCAAGACCTAAAACACACAAGCTCTATCAGGGAGTATGTGAAATCCTTCTCAGGGCATATGCTGAATATTCGAGATATGTCGAAAAATGATAAGCTCTTCACCTTTATGGAAGGGTTGAAATCATGGACACACACGGAACTTCAAAGACAGAAGGTTACTGATTTGAGCACGGCCATGGGAGCCGTTGAATGCTTGAGCGACTACCAAACAGAATCTATAAAAGATCGACCTTCGGGGAGTAATCAAGCAATTGGAAGTGGTAACAGATCTTACAGAACCAGCTCGAACCTAAATGGGAGAGAGTGTTACTCTCAGAATAGAGAAGGAGCTTATCAAAGCACCCATGGCTTTCAGGGAAACTATCATAATAGTCGTCAAGGAAATTTTAACGGCAGCAACAGTAACAACTGGAACAAAGGAAAAACAACGGAGGGCCGAACTGATGCCACTCCCTAATTGAAGTGCTTTTATGTGAAGGACCTCATCGGGTGTCGGAGTGTCCTTAGAAACGGATGGTGAATGCATATTGTCAGTTAGCAAGTGGCGGGTCAAGTTCAAAGCAAGACGCCCTGCAGGCTAATTGTCATAGTGAAACCGACTCTGAAGAGGATGAGGACGTAGTTGGGACATTTTCACATCGGTGCAACACCCTGTCGCATCGGGTTGTTGAAAAGGATGATGTCCCATTGAAAGAGACAATTATGGAAGAAGCGAAGGCTCGAATTTGTAGGGCCAAAGGCTTAATGTACATTGATGTAAAGATCAATGGGAAAACAATTAGGGCTATGGTGGATACTGGTGCTATCTACAACTACCTTACATGTACCGAAGTAGAGCGGCTCGGACTTGTTCTAGAAAAGGATAGTAGAAATGTCAAAGCAATCAACTCCGCTGCTCAACCAATGGCTGGAGTGGCGAAATCGGTGTTGATCAAAGCAGGTCCTTTCAAGGGAAAGATAAATTTATCTGCAGTTCAGATGGATGATTTCAAACTTATTCTAGGATTGAAATTTCTTCGGGATACTAAGACAGCAGTGTTGCCATATTTCGATTCGTTAATGATGATGGGTAATAAGTTGTGTGTCATCCCTACACAGGTTGGGAGGATGGGCGAGAAGAGTATCTCAACCATGCAATTTAGTAAGGGTTTCAAGAGAAATGAACCCGTTAAAAGGCTTATTCAGGAATTTGAGGACATCATGCCGGAAGAATTAGCAAAGAAATTACCACCAAGAAGGACGATTGATCATGAGATTGAACTTATTCCAGGCGCCAAACCTCCCGCCAGGGCACCATACCATATGTCTCAACCTAAGCTTGAAGAACTTAGGAAGCAATTGGGAGAAATGTTGGAGAGTAGAATCATTGTGCCTGCGAAGTCGCCATACGGAGCTCCTGTATTGTTTCAGAAAAAGGCCGATGGTTCTCTTAGAATGTGTTGCGACTATCGAGCCTTGAACAAGATTACTGTAAAGAATAGCTATCCTATCCCACTGGTTGTGGATTGCTTCGATTGACTGAGTCAGGCGAAGTATTACACAAAAATTGATCTTAGATCCGGATACTAGCAAGTTCGGATCAAGGAGGGAGACGAAGCAAAGACTACGGTGGTAACCAGATATGGAGCCTTTGAATTTAAAGTGATGCCTTTTGGTTTGACAAATGCTCCAGCGACATTTTGTACTATGATGAATCAGGTACTTCACAGGTTCTTAGATGATTTTGTCGTGGTATACTTGGATGACATAGTAATCTACAGCGAGACATTGGAGGAACATGTCCAGCATGTGAGGCAAGTTTTTAATCGGTTACGGGAGAATGAACTTTATGTTAAGCCGTCTAAATGCTCATTTGCTCAGACATCTATCAATTTCTTGGGCCACATCATTGAACAAGGTAAAATCCGCATGGATTCGAAGAAGGTTACAACCATCAAAGATTGGCAACCATCAAAAACCGTACATGATGTACGTTCATTTCTTGGGTTAAGCAATTACTATCGAAGATTTGTGAAAGGCTACTCAGAAATTGCACTGCCACTTACTGAATTGACAAAGAAGGATAAGGATTGGGGTTGGTCATCCCAATGCCAAGCTGCTTTTGAAAGGTTCAAGAAGTCCATGTCGACAAACCCAATTTTAGCCTTACCGGATATGGCTAAACTATTTGAAGTTCATACAAATGCTTCAGATTTTACACTTGGTGGAGTCCTCATGCAAGAAGAATATCCGGTAGCATATGAGAGCCGGAAGTTAAAGACAGAACATCATTACTCGGCATATGAAAATGAATTATTGGCAGTAGTCCATTGTCTTAGAGGATGGCGTCACTATCTACTTGGGTCTCCATTTATTGTGAAGACAGATAACACTGTAGTTAGTCACTTTATGTCCCAACCAAAACTATCGAGCAAACAGGCTCGTTGGCAGGAATTCCTTTCAGAGTTCAATTTCATGTTAGAGTATCGTCCCGGCTCTAGTAATCATGTTGCTAATGCTCTTAGTCGACGGACCGATTTAGCTACCATCTGCTCCGTAGTTGCTCTTTCAGGGAGCACAGTCTCCACAAACACTAGAGACCAATTCGAACACTTATGGAGAAGGGCCCGGATACCCAATATTTGGTCGACCTCATCAAGTAGGGTAAAACTCGACAATTCTGGCTCGATGGGGAACTAGTGAAGACAAAGGGAGATCGTCTATATGTTCCTAAGAGCGGAGATCTGAGGAAATCACTAATTACAGAATGCCATGACACAATTTGGGCAGGGCATCTCGGAGAGGAACGCACTTGTGCACTACTGTAACGTGCATACTACTGGCCTCAAATGCGGGACGACATTGCAACATTTGTAAAAACCTGTCTTATTTGTCAGTAAGATAAGGCAGATTATCAGAAAAAGACGGGATTGCTGGAGCCCCTTTTCGTCCCAACCCGGCCATTCGAAAGTGTATCGATGGACTACATTATTGGGTTGCCAAAAAATGAGGATTTTGGTACTATCATTGTTGTGGTGGACCGTCTATCAAAATATGCAACTTTCATTGCAGCGCCTAAGTATGTATCTGCGGAAGAGACAGCTCAACTCTTCTTCAAACATATTGTCAAATACTGGGGGCTGTCTAAGGACACGTCAGTGATCGAGATCCTCGTTTCACTGGCATATTTTGGACTGAGTTGTTCAAACTTCTTGGTTCAACTTTGAGTATGAGTTCTAGTTTTCTCCCACAATCTGACTGACAGACAGAGAGCTTCAATTCTATGCTAGAAGAATATCTTTGGCACTTTATCTCTACTTCGTAGAAAAATTGGGAAAAACTTTTGGATGTGGCCCAAATTTGCTTCAATACCCAAAAGAGCTCTTCTACCAATAAGAGTCCTTTTGAGATTGTTACTGGCCAGCAACCACTACTCCCTCATACAGTGGATATCGAACGAAGTACCAAGTCCTCTCAAGCAAAGAACTTTTCCCAAGAGTAGAAATGAAATATTGAAAGCTCAAAAACGGTATAAAAAGGTTGCAGATCTAAAGTACCGTTTCATTGAATTCAATGTTGGAGATCTGGTAATGGTTAAACTTCCTGACAGAAATGTTTACAAACCAACAAGAGGGAAAGACTCAAGATTGTCGCCAAAATACATTGGACAATTACCCATCGTGAAGAGGATTGGAAGAGTTGCATACAGAGTTGAACTCCCTTCATGGTGTAAAATCCACAAGATCCTTCATATTAGTGTGTTGAAGCCATACTTTGCGGATAAGGAGGACACATCTAGAAATGAGCCAAAGCGACATGTGTTTGAACTGAAGAAAGCTGGAAAGAAGGTTGCTGAAGCTATTCTTGACCATTGAATCACTCGAGTTTCTAGAAAAGATCATTAGGAGTACTTGGTCAAATGGATGGGATGCAGCAGCGAGGAGAATACTTGGGAAAGAGAAAAAGATATCGGAGCCTTCAAACCATTAATTGAAGCATATTATGCATTGATGGCAATGAGGACGTCGCCAAAACAAATGGGGGAGAATGTCAAGGACTGCAACTTTACCTAGCCCCTTGACACTATTGCAGCCGCAGTTTGTCCAACTTCGACCGCATATTGTAAATATTAGTTCAAATTTGAGTTGTAATTTTCTTTTCATTGTAATAGTTATTTCAGTTGTAAAATAACTCTGATATTGGTAAACGTTTAGTATGATTCCTCGTCTTTTAGACGTCTACTCCTATCACTTAGGTTTTTGTTCAGAATGCTATTATAGAGGGCATTAGTCATTCAAAAATCTTTCAAGCTCACTGGTGTCCGCCCCCTGCACCAACAATTGTAATTTTTTGCTTTCATCAATTGTAATGTTCAGTTTTCATCAATCAATGTTCAATTTATTTTCAATATATTCAAATTCTCTATTGTAAGCTTTCTATAATATTGTAATCAAATTTTCTTTCGTTCCGACGCGAACGAGAAAAGGCGGAAGGTAGTCTAGCGGAGCAGACTACTACCGCACGGTGTCCCTTTCTATGCCAAGAAGAATGGCACGCCGTGAAACCGTTAGATTTACTGTTGACAGCATCCACCCATGGGTCAGGACCAAACTCAGGCTAATCATATCTAGTGTACCATACTTGGAATTGATTGAAGCCTTATGAGTATCATGTGAGAAAAAAAAAATTGAATCTCATACTCACTATATGAACAAAATATGAAGTATCTAAACTCCAATTATACTTACATGAACTCGCTTGGATTTTTTATCAACAAAATCATCAAGTCCATGATTCTTGTTGTGGACATGACTGAAAACTATAATTAAGACATTGAATGAACCATATCTTTTTCTTGAAAATAGGCAACTCATTAATCACAATCATTTAAAAATATAAATGACCTTTAAAATACAAAATATAAATACAATGAGAAAAAATATCTATCTCTTCTTTGTATTCACAAAGGAAACTGAACAGAGTGTATGCTTTTTCATTTCATCATCCTGAGATTGATATAAAATTGTACTAAATAAGTTAATTATGCTACTAAGATTCTAAGTTCAAAAGATCTTCAACGTAAATTCTCTTTACGAACATATAGGAGTAAATTTATTTTAGAATTTTTTTTCCTTATCTTAAATTATTTAAGCACAAGAACTTAAACCTAAAGTATAACATTTGCTTCAAAAAAAATAAAAAAATTTAATAGTGTTATGAACTACACGAAATGAATGTTATACGTAACTTGCTTTCATTTTTAAAGACTATTCTCAACAAAATGGATGTCGTACAATTAGTAAACTACTTCGTCTACACATTTTCACACGTGATTAGATTGACTTTTTTTATTTTTATAATGAAATTACTTCATTACTAGAATATTCGAAGGTAAAATGAATTACACTTTAACTTTTTGTCAATCCTTGAATGATTAACCATCACCTCTAAATATTTCAAACCATTTACTTTTTTCAAAACACATTTAAAGATTGAAACTATATGATTATCCTTTCACGTACGGCTTTTCGGTAGGTAAATGATTGAGACTTGTATTAGTCTTTAAAATTAATTAATCAATGATGGATTTTTAGTGGATAATATCAATAACTTTTTTTCTTTTTCAAAAAATTGATCACACCCTTCAACTATTGATATTCAGTAGGGTGAATGATTGGATTTTTTATTTATTAAAATTGATTTACATCGGCAACGGATTTTCATTCGGGAAAGAAGGCGATTGTTCGTACGAAATTCCATTCCCACATGAACGTGATAAGATCAAATCTTGATCAAAGAAAGAGCCTTCTCATGATGCTTATTCTTAAGACAAATATACTCTTTCACTGTCAATGAACGATATATTGGACTTGGAAGCTTATTCAGTGGCCCAATAATGGATTCCACCGGAGGTCCATAAAAGTACGCTACAGAAATTCTATGCCTATCCTGACTTGGAACTGCACGGTGATACACTGTAGGGAATCTTCCATTCGATAAAATGTGCAATAAATCTCCTATATTCACAACTAGGGCTCCGGATACTGGAGGAACGGGTACCCACCCGACTCCATTTTGCTGAATTTGAAGCCCTTTTTCTTCACTCTGGTGGAGAATAGTAAGGAGGAGCGAATCGGTATGCGGGGCTAACCCGATTGCTCGATTCGGATCCGGACAGCACGGATAAGAATTCAGTTGCAGTGCACCTTCGGATTCGTAAATAGATGGTTTAGAAATCATTTCTTCTTCTTTATTTATGTCTAGGAATTTGAGCATTAGAAGCATGATTTGATGGGCCAACGATTTCATCGTTTTTTGATAATTGTCCATTACATTACTGCAAAAGAAAGAAAATCGGTTAGTATGTTGGATTTGATAGCAGCGAGGGGATTAAAAATTGGATAATGCTATATGCACATCATACATGATTATCGTTTGTTTCTTAAATTTTTAGATAAAATGATTTAATATGATATATAAGTCATGAATCTAGGCAATATTTTAAAAACTTGTACGGAATTCTTGGTACTTAGGCAAGTGCCGATGTGAAGATGAAATTTAAATAAATATATTTATACCTTGCTTTTAGTGACATTTTTAGTACACAATAATCTTACCAAAAATCTTCATAGTCATGGGGCCAAAGTTCCTTTGCATGCTCAACTGTAGAGCCCATAATGGTGAAGCCCTCATGCCACATTAACTTGGAGAAAAATGGCGATATCCTAGCAACGCCATACCCGGTGCCTCCACCGGGTGCTCGTTGGGCCTTCAATTTCTGTTGAGTTGGAAGCGTAAATAATTGTCGAGCATGTGACACGACATCATCAATAAGAATCGAGGAAACACCATGGTTAATCACGTGAAACATACCCCACGTTTCGCATGCATTGCCAACAAGCTCCACAACATTTGGAGCACTTAGATCAATAATTGGTACACAAGATTCTTCATTCATTGGTACATGCTTTAGATGCGTATATTTTTTTGAGTAGAGATCATTGACATGATCAGACCATGTATGCGAATCAGGTAACTCGTGAACGGAGTCGAAATCAAGGGGAATAATATGTTGATGATCGAGAGCACTGTCTCCGATAACTTTTGAAAGAGTTGCCATGTGATTGAGACCTTAATAATATTGCAGTTATCATCAAATCCCATATTTATAAGAGAGATGTTATTTAACACTACTGATATAACAACATGATTTAGGTGACACCTTAATGGTATTAAATGTGATGCACAATTAAATAAATCACATCATTCCTCCTTCAATTAAGCCTATAATATTATGATACTTAGACTAGTGCTAAATTGTATTATTCTTTATGAAAGAGTAATGATATTTAACACCACTGGAATTACAACACCGATCCAGTTGGCAACTAAATGACATTAAATGAGAGAAATAATTAAATAAATAATATAATTTCGCCTCCAATTAAGTCTATAACATTATGATACTTAAAATGGTGCTAAATAGCATTATTCTTTGTGAAAGAGTAATGATATTTAACACGATTGGAATTACAACACCTATCTAGTTGTCTTCTAAATGACATTAAATGGGAGACACAAGTAATTAAATAACACAATTTCACATTATAATACTTAGATTGGTGTTAAATAGCATTATTCTTCATGAAAGAGTAATGATATTTAACACCACTGATGTTACAACACCGATCTAGGTGGCACCTAAATGACATTAAACGAGATACAAAATTAAATAAATCACATAATTTTGCCTTTAATTAAGCCTATCATATTATGACATTTTATATTATTGCTAAATAACATTTTTCTTTATGAAAGAGTAATAATATTTAGTATTACTAGTGTTATAGCACCAAGCTAGGTGGCACCTAAATAGCATTAAATGGAATTACTTGTTCCAATGATCACTGAATTTAGATTCATGTGTTTGATTAGTGAAAAATATACAACATTTTCAACATTCAATGGTCAAAACTCGATATTTTAAACTTTAGTGAGCAATCGAAGACAATGACCTAACTTTAGTGATCAAAGTATGACATTTTAAATTTCAGTGACCAATAAAAAATATGGACCTAAGTTCAGTGATCATTGGAACAATTAATTCCATTAAATGAGAATCATAATTAAACAAATCAAATATTTCCGCATTCAATTGAACCTATCACATTAGGATATTTAGATCGGTGCTAAATAGAATTACTCTTTTTATTGTTACAACGCTGTTTTAGGTGGTACCTAAATGACATTAAATGAGAGTCATAACTAAATAAATCATATAATTTATCCTTCAATTAAGTATCTCACATTATGACACTTAGACTGGTGCTTAGTTGTAAGGTCTCGAATTTTATATTCTTAAATTGGTTGATGTAGCCCATTTAAAAAACGAGCTACGAAAGCTTGGTCCATTTAATATTATAAAAACGGATTTATTTATCGAATTTCATTCACCCCCACAATCCCAGTCATAAGTTATTTAAAAGCTCAAAAATTTAAAACATTAAATTTAAGAAAATTTTATTACGTAGATTTAACGAATAACTGGGTTGCCACAATGGTTATTTGCTTGGCATTTCACAGAAACAATTCAGGTTCAAATCACCATACAGATATTTTTATAAAATATTTTTATACAATTATCTTTTAGTTAAAAACTCCTCATTTTGTACATAAAGAACAATTATATTAAGTTAATTGGATGAAATAATTGTTCTATTAATGGGCATTCATAGAGATAGATCACAAATCATATGAATAGTTCATTTTCTCTATTTTTCATTGTATAAATGTTTTATAAAACGTTTTATAAGAATTATTTTCTTTATGGGTTTAAAACTCTTTAAATTTTTACTTAAAGATTCAATTTAACAAG